GGGGCTCTAGATATACCTTGTAAGTATGGTCACACAATTGTTTGGGGGCTCTAGATATACCTTGTAAGTATTGTCACAAATGTTTCGGGGCTCTAGATATACCTTGTAAGTACTGTCACAATTTTTTGGGGCACTAGATTCACCTTGTAAGTATTGTCACAATTGTTTGGGGACACTAGATATACCTTGTAAGTATTGTCACAATTGTTTGGGGCTCTAGATTTACCTTGTAAGTATTGGCACAATTGTTTGGGGGCTCTAGATTTACCTTGTAAGTATTGTCACAATTGTTTGGGGGCTCTAGATATACCTTGTAAGTATTGTCACAATTGTTTGGGGCTCTAGATATACCTTGTAAGTATTGTCACAATTTTTTGGGGCACTAGATTTACCTTGTAAGTATTGTCACAATTGTTTGGGGCTCTAGATATAGCTTGTAAGTATTGTCACAATTTTTTGGGGCACTAGATTTACCTTGTAAGTATTGTCACAATTGTTTGGGGGCTCTAGATATACCTTTAATGACATAAACCAATCAAGCATCAGATTATACAACCCAAATTAAATCCCATTCAATGTAACTGGGGTTCCAAATATGTAGAATATTGTCAAGAATATATCAAATACAGCTAGGTGTAGGTATTTTCAACTTTATTATTAATTGAAATATTTGATATTGATCAAGTGAATATATTTCTGCAGAAATTGGAAATGAGGATGTGAATATCTTATTTTTCTGGCAATGTATCACTATAATGTTGTCTGTTTCCTGTACCTAGAAAGCAGCCCAGATTCGAAGCACACCATTTACAGAGGAGTCAACCTCTGAATCCTCCGACAATGAAGAGGGACCACTCCTCTCCGGGACCATTGACCAATCAGATCTCAGTACCTCAGCAGCTAGTCCTATCACAGATAGGAACATATCTAAACAGCAACAAAGCAGTTCAGGGGCCACAAAGAGGGGTAATTATAAATCATAAAGTAGCTCAGGGGCCACAAAGAGGGGTAATTATAAATCATAGTTTTAAGATACCAGACCAATGTTTACTGATTAAAATATATGTATTAAACATATATGGAATTTTTGTAGCAAAAAAAGATTTTGAAGCTCTATCATGACAAAAAAGTGTTCTCCAAATCATAGTATCATGTTGAATCAATTGCTCTACATTAACTGTCTCAACAGTCATTGTTTCACTACTTCCTGTTTGTCTACTTCCTGTCCAGGTGTGTCCTGCCATTCCGCAGCCTCAGAGATATCATGTGACTATGCAGACCCTCCAGATGAAACCTCAAGTAAAAGTGACTCCGAAAACTCGGAGCCTGAACAGAAACTCCTCAAGTATGCCACAGACAATCAAAAACATGTAAGATCTTTTAGGTGACCTTTCAAATTTGTTTGAGTTAAAGTATAGAATGAAATAGATTTTTCAATATAAGACAAATCTTTTTTCATAAGTAGCACTAACCAGATAGAAAGATAATTAATTTTCTAAAATATTAATAATTAGGGCCCCACATTGGAGATGTGGGTGCCCTATAGTGAATTATTGGTGTCCGTCTGTCAGCGCTTTTATTTCCAGAATATTGCTCAGAATCCAAAAGACTGACCTTTTGGAAATTTAGCACTGTAATATAATGTAATATACTGTAATATACTGTAATATACTGTAATATACTGTGATATACTGTAATATACTGTAATATACTGTGATATACTGTGATATACTGTAATATACTGTATTATATTGTGATATACTGTGATATACTGTAATATACTGTAATATACTGTGATATACTGTAATATACTGTAATATACTGTGATATACTGTAATATACTGTAATATACTGTGATATACTGTAATATACTGTAATATACTGTGATATACTGTAATATACTGTAATATACTGTGATATACTGTAATATACTGTAATATACTGTGATATACTGTAATATACTGTAATATACTGTGATATACTGTAATATACTGTAATATACTGTGATATACTGTGATATACTGTGATATGCTGTAATATACTGTGATATACTGTAATATACTGTAATATACTGTGATATACTGTGATATACTGTAATATACTGTGATATACTGTGATATACTGTAATATACTGTGATATACTGTAATATACTGTAATATACTGTAATATACTGAATATACTGTAATATACTGTAATATACTGTAATATACTGCCATATACTGTAATATACTGTCATATACTGTAATATACTGTAATATACTGTAATATACTGTCATATACTGTCATATACTGTAATATACTGTCATATACTGTAATATACTGAAATATACTGTAATATACTGTGATATACTGTGATATACTGTGATATACTGTGATATACTGTAATATACTGTAATATACTGTAATATACTGTAATATACTGTGATATACTGTCATATACTGTCATATACCGTCATATACTGTAATATACTGTGATATACTGTAATATACTGTGATATACTGTAATATACTGTAATATACTGTGATAACCTGTAAAATACTGTAATATACTGTGATATACTGTAATATACTGTAATATACTGTAATATACTGTAATCTGGGGGAATCCAGATGAAGGGAAGCTTTAAGCAAACGAATGTAAATAACAAATACTATTCATTACGGTCAAACGGTATCGCATATCAGCTCTGTGTGTCAGGCACTGGTCAGGTAAAACTCCGGACACTCGGGTGTGCGCACCATGTGTGGACGATGTGCGGACGGTGTGTGAACACGCTATGTTTGGTGCGTTGTGCAGTCCCACAACTGTACTGTAATATACTGTGATATGAGATGTGCAATAGGAGTCTAAAAAAACTGAATGTCAAGGTCACTGTTACAATAAATAGACCAATATAGATAGGGGTATGGTTAGACACAGACCACCAGGGGAACGGTCAGACACAGACCACCAGGGATACGGTCAGACAAAGACCACCAGGGGTACGGTCAGACAAAGACCACCAGGGGTACGGTCAGACACAGACCACCAGGGGGTAAGGTCAGACACAGACCATGAGGGGTATGGTCAGACACAGACCACGAGGGGTATGGTTAGACACAGACCACCAGGGGTACAGTCAGACACAGACCACCAGGGGAACGGTCAGACACAGACCACGAGGGGTACGGTCAGACACAGACCATGAGGGGTATGGTCAGACACAGATCACCAGGGGTACGGTCAGACACAGACCACCAGGGGTACGGTCAGACACGGTGGATCTGTCAGTGTTTTAGTTTACTGTTATAAGTCTGCCACATCATTCAATGAACAACTCCAAAGGCAATGAACAAAGAGGGAGGTCAGTGTGTCCAGCTGTATAAAACAATCGTGGGACCTGTAGTACTAATACATTGTGTACTTGTAGGATACGCTAGAGAAGTTTGGTTACCTTTCCAAACTGGGAGGTAAGGTTAAGATGTGGAAGAGACGCTGGTTTGTCTTGAGGAATGGAGAACTCATCTACTACAAGTCACAGGTACATATCTTCTACACCAACTGTCCTGGAAAATTAGTATCTCTAAGCATTATTTCAACTGTTTGTATTGCCACTATAGCATAATGTGGAGTTTTAAGAACAAATTGATATGTGTACTGTGATCATCTGACTATAGGTCTGAAACAAATTGAAAGGGTTTGGATTTCACACACTTCACTGTTAGACAATATTTTATTATAATTGATCAGAACGGTAGCAAAATAGCAAGGTCTATATTTTGCACATTTTAGAAATATAAGGGGAAAAAATTGTGAACAGTAACTACTTGTGTTGGTGGAAAGATTCTATTGATTTAAGGAGGTGTCATGTTTCTGATATAACCCTGGCAGTGATTGGCTATCTAACTGACCAACCCTGGCAGTGATTGGCTATCTAACTGACCAATCCTGTGTACTTTTGTTACCAACAGCACGATGTGCTACGTAAACCGCAAGGAACCCTAAAACTTGATGAACAGACCCGTATCTCCCACGTCAAGGGAGAACTTACTTTCGAAGTAAGTGAAGCATACAAAATAATCTTAGTCAAGGGAGATAATTTATGTCGGACAATGGCTAGTGTGGTAAATCAGTCTCTAATTGTTCACCCTGTCATCTGTCAAGGGAGAGCTCACTTTCAAAGTTATTAAGGCTAATTATGTAATATACCCATATTACTTATCAACAGTTTGTGATTATGGTTTTCTAAGTCAAGGGAGATAACTCAGGTCAGACCAGACTTTGAATCAAGAGTGACAGATAATTCTCCAATTGTTTTTACTGTAAATGTAACCAAGTGAAGAGTATTATGTATATGGTAATAAGGAGTTTATTTAATAATGCTATAAACTTTTTATTGAACCCCAATCTTGCTGGAGTTTAAAAAGTTTATTTTCTCGTAGATAACCAACTCCAAGAGGACCTACTATTTCACCGCAGATTCCCAGGCTGAAACAGAGAAGTGGATCAAAAGTAAGGACACCACTACCTCTTCCCGATCCTCTCACATTGCCAGATCCCTAACAGTACATTAAGTATCACACTTCTTCTTAGGCATTGGTGTCCAGATTATTCATTTGTCGACGTTCTGAATACTTTCCAGTCTTTGTAAATCAGATTTCTAACTGGTTTGAAAGCTTTTGTGAACTCTTAAGGGTTTTCATGTGTTTATGGTGGGAATACTTAATTGGCTGTGGTGGTTTTAAATCTCAATAAAATGTTAACAACATGTTCTGATACACTTTTCTTTCCTGTTACCCAGTTTTACGAAAGTTCCTGAAGCGCCAGGCTACCAGTTATCTCCTTGACCACATGGAAACCAAAGCTGTGGTCAGGGGCTGGCTGACCAAGGTAAGTGCACTACAAATGTTACGACTCAAGTAGTCATTTTCTGTAACATGCCAAGATAATGAAGGAAACAAACTTCTATTAAGATATGAGGACATTCCTGAGTATGTGGAAGTTTTTTTCTGCTTCAATTTCTTTTTTCCAGACATGAAATTAACAAACAGGAAGATATCAAATTATAACTTTGTGGAGGAAAAGAATGATACTAAATGTTTTATATATAAATAGCTTTACTTAGTAAAGTTACCATAGATGTTGAGGAAGATCTCTGTTATAACTAAGTTTAGCAAAGGAAATAAAATATACAACTTTGAATGCCTTCTGATATTAGGAAGATCTGTTGTTGGTGCTCATTAAACACGACTAACAAGATAAGGTGAGAAAACTGATTATACCTGTACTATACAGGTAAAACATGGCGCCACACGGAAGTGTTGGTGTGTCCTCCTGGGACACTACTTCCTCTACTACAGAACGGCCAAGGACAAGGTAGGTAACTATGGTAACCAGACCTTTAACGGAATATCACACCATACAGGCCCTATGGGTTTTGTCAGACGTTACATTTTCTGGGAAATTCTAATTCTAAGGGAAATATGAATTAGAGCAATAAAATTTGTCTTAAAACATCTTCAGCAGGATACTTTCTATGGGAAATCGCAAGCTTTACAATGTTAGGACAATGTCTTTGAGAGGTTACAAGCTTGCTATTCTTCATTGAATATGTCAATTACTATAATTGTTTTGACAGCAAAAATCTCCATGCAGAATCCATTGAAAATCTAAAGTTTCACACTTGCTACAAAATAGCTCTTTAAAATGCAACAAACATGTCCAATGATTACCAACTATACTGATCAAAATAAATTATCGTTTTGAAAGCAAGAAAAAAATCATGATTACTTAGAGTTTTATGTGTGAAGAATAATTTCCTACGGTTAGGGATAAGGCAACGATTGCATTTGAAATAGATATTGTTAGAATGTCATGTATGTTCAGCATGTACACTTAACACAACAGACACCGATTGGCCAGATCAACCTACAGAGCGCTAAGATAGAGGATATAGATAACTCGGGTGACTCCGATGAAGAATGCGAGGTCACCATGACACCCAAACACGTGGTGGCAGTGTGGCCACCAAACCAGGGACCAACCTACCTTGTAGTGCCTAGTAAGCACGAAAAGGTAACCAGCCTTCTAATTCAGTCTGATAGCACTTAACCATACTTTACCAAAGTTTTCTCAACTCTTCATAGAAACTAGTGGAGCAAAGCACTATTCACTGTCCCTTTCATTGTGGCGATGCCTTGTTTTCAATTCACTATGTTTAACACCTATTTTAAAGTTCAAGTTGACAATTTTGTCCTTATCAGTCAGATTACATAATCCTCTGATATAAAAGCCGAGGTACATTAAATGAGTTGTCTCCCTTTGTTGTACTTCAGGACTCGTGGCTGTACCACCTGACCGTGGCGGCAGGAGGGGGGATGGGTAATGTGGGCACAGAGTATGAACAGCTCATCGCAAAGGTCATGGAGGTCGAAGGTGACACCAGTAAGTTGTAGAAAAGTTATGAAATTCTGCGAAAAAAAAGAAATATAAATCATTTTCCTTCCCATTTAAAAGATATGAAATAAAAAAAAGATACAGAATGAAGTTTTCAAGATTTGTTTATTTCTTTGATTAAGTAAGAAATATTTTATATGATATTAAAATAAAAAAGGAAACTTAGTTTAAAATCAAGTTCATCAAGACTTATTTTTCTTGTCTCTATTTACAGACTCTGTCTATTGGAAACATCCCATGATGCTTCACTGTAAAGAACCAATCACAAGACCTCTCACTACTCTACCTTCAGAAGATCTCCAACACAAGGCAGCTGAAATGTTTAAGGTAAGTTATAATCAAACCTGCTCATGTGATCACCTCCATTAAAACACCTGTGTTCTTGGGCCACTTCTAGAGTTCCCTATTGTGGTTACTTCACCATGAATAAAACCTCTACAAAGAGACCACTTTCTGGACTCCCAAAAGGTTGGGGCTGGTTTCTTAATGCAAGTTTGACTGCAATATGTTCACGCTAAAACTATTAAAAGCTATTTTGTTTTAACAAATGTTCAAATTGAGTTATATTTTAATTATGATAAAATATTCGAATACATACATGTTCTATGTGCCTTAGTGTCCCTCAGACTAATTTGAGTTGTCCTTTTCAATATTTAAAAAAAATCCGTTTAATTGATTTTTAAATCTGCACAGAAATTTCACCTTCATTATGGATTTCTCTAGATTTTACAAATTTTTTCAAAAACCTTGTTTTCTTTTCAGTGGATCGTGCAGTTTATATACAGCCAGATAGATACATCCCAGCTGGACTTGCACGTTAGTCTGGCCCAGAGTATACTGGATCTCTGTGTTCGTCACCCACAACTACAGAACGAACTCTACTGCCAGCTTATCAAACAGACCACGCCCCATCCTGTACAGCACAAAACTACCATGCAGGTAATTATACTTCCTGTCCTTGCTCTGCAGCTCTTCTTTGTCAGGTACGTTATCCACCCTCCCCTCCACAGGTGACTGGTTCAATGCAGTGGGATACCCTATGGTATAGTAACCCCAAATCTCCTGTCGACACTGCAGTCAGATTCCATAAATAGTACAGAATTCCATCCTTTTTTACATAAAACATATAAATTCAGACTGACATTTTTTCAGATAATTTATTATGATACAGTTTACCTAAATTTAAAGAAGTACACTCTGTTGTCATCAGGCGAGTCAATAACATATCCATATATATATAATTATCATAAATAGTTATCTAAATGTATTTTAATGTGAGATACAAGTTAGTTGAAATATAATAGCAAAATGTCTGATTTATGAAAACCTATAACTGTTAGATCCTGGCTTAAGTTACAGCAGGAACTAAGATTGTCCTCAGTGTCAGATATTTCTTGGTGTTATAGAGAATACTATA